GGCAGAGGCATCATAGTTTCCCTTTTATAAAGGGAAAAGGGGGCAAAAAGAGTGCAAAAAATTATAGGGGGATAAGGCTGGTTTAGTATACCTGGGAAAGGTTTTAAAGGTAAGTTTTTTAATGAAAGAATTTTTGAGTAAGACAGAGAATAGGATCAATGAACAAGGAGGCCTTTTGGAAAGGAAGGGGTGTGTGGACCAGGGGGTTTTTAGTGAAACATAAAATTGAACAGTATTTAAAATAAGGCTTTAAAAAGGGGGTTTTTTTGGAAATTTTTGGGTTTGGAAAAGGCAATGAAAGGGTGGATTAAAAGGGGCAAGTGGAGTTTTTGCAGGTGTATGGGGGTAGGAGGTAGGTTAAATGAAAGCAGTGAAGAGTTTTTTTAAAGAGGGGTGTGGGTTTAATTAGAGTAAAGTAGGAAAAGAGGGAGTTTATTTCCCCGTAAAAAATAGGCTTTAACAAGGATTGTGGAAGTTACATGGTTGTTTTTATATTTATAGATGGGGTTGTAAAAAGGGAAATAAATGCGAGGGTCTTGGAAGAGGCGTGGAGGGTTTAAAAAATAAAGAAACACACATTAAAATGGGGTTGTCACGTTGTTTTTTTCTGGAAAAACTGGCTCTTTTGGGGGATTTTTGAAAGAAGTTGGGAGAGGTTGGGGGAATGAATTTGGTTGGGTATGCAAAAAAAAATTAAAAGTGAATACAGGAAAAGTAAGGGTTATGAGGTAACAAAAAGATTAGGTGATGAAAGACTGGATATCAGATTGGAGAGAGTATGGAGGAGGTGAATGTATTCAGATATTTGGGAGTGGACATGTCAGCGGATGGGTCTATGAAAGATGAGGTGAATCATAGAATTGATAAGGGGAAAAGGGTGGAGCGGTGCACTTAGGAGTCTGTGGAGACAAAGAACTTTGTCCTTGGAGGCAAAGAGGGGAATGTATGAGAGTGTAGTTTTACCAACGCTCTTATATGGGTGTGAAGCATGGGTGATGAATGTTGCAGTGAGGAGAAGGCTGGAGGCAGTGGAGATGTCATGTCTGAGGGCAATGTGTGGTGTGAATATAATGCAGAGAATTCGTAGTTTGGAAGTTAGGAGGAGGTGCGGGATTACCAAAACTGTTGTCCAGAGGGCTGAGGAAGGGTTGTTGAGGTGGTTTGGACATGTAGAGAGACTGGAGCAAAACAGAATGACTTCAAGAGTGTATCAGTCTGTAGTGGAAGGAAGGCGGGGTAGGGGTTGGCCTAGGAAAGGTTGGAGGAGGGGGTAAAGGAGGTTTTGTGTGCGAGGGGCTTGGACTTCCAGCAGGCATGCGTGAGCGTGTTTGATAGGAGTGAATGGAGACAAATGGTTTTTAATACTTGACGTGCTGTTGGAGTGTGAGCAAAGTAACATTTATGAAGGGATTCAGGGAAACCGGCAGGCAGGACTTGAGTCCTGGAGATGGGAAGTACAGTGCCTGCACTCTGAAGGAGGGATGTTAATGTTGCAGTTTAAAAACTGTAGTGTAAAGCACCCTTCTGGCAAGACAGTGATGGAGTGAATGATGGTGAATGTTTTTCTTTTTCAGGCCACCCTGCCTTGGTGGGAATCAGCCAGTGTGTTAATAAAAATAATAAAAAAAATTCTTGTTCTTGTTTATTTCCCCTTATCTCCATGGGAAAGTGGAACAGAATTCTTCCTCCATAAGCCATGCATGTTGTAAGAGGCGACTAAAATGCCGGGAGCAAGGGGCTAGTAACCCCTTCTCCTGTATAAATTACTAAATTTAAAAAGAGAAACTTTCGTTTTTCTTTTTGGGCTACCCTGCCTTGGAGGGATACGGCCGGTTTGTTGAAAGAAGAGTTAAGCATTTATAAATTATATACATTTTAGAAAAAACTGGTTAGTAAAACAATGTTGTCTAGTGGACGCAACTTGTATTCACTTAGCAAGAATGGTAGGAGGCTGGGGGTACCACTGCTCTCAACCCAGCAAGAATGGTAGGAGGCTATGGGGGTACTGCCCTCAACCCAGTAAGAATGATAGGAGGCTGGGGGCCTGCCCTAACCAGCAAGATGGTAGGAGGCTAGGGGGGTACTGCCCTAACCCAGCAAGATTGGTAGGAAGGCTGGAGGGACTGCTCAACCAGCAAGAATGTATACGAGGCTTTGAGGGGTACGCCTCAACCCAGCAAGAATGGTAGGAGCTGGGGGCTACTCTTCAACAGCAGAGAATGTGTAGGAGCTAGGGGGGTACTGCTCTCAAAACAGGCAGAATGGGAGGAGGCGGAGGTACTGTCTTAACCCAACAAGAATAGTAGAAAGCTAGGGGGGTACCACTCTCAACCAAGCAAGAATGGTAGGAGACTGGGGGGTACTGCTCTCAACCCAGCAAGAATGGTAGGAGGCTTGGGGAGTACTAGCTCAACCCAGCAAGAATGGTAGAAGGCTAGGGGGGTACCACTCTCAACCCAGCAAGAATGGTAGGAGGCTAGGTGGGTACTGCTCTCAACCCAGCAAGAATTTTAGAAGGCTAGGGAGGTACTGCTCTCAACCCAGCAAGAACGGTAGGAGACTGGGGGGGTACTGCTCTCGACCCAGCAACAATGGTAGGATACTGGAGAGTACTGCTCTCAACCCACCAAGAATGGTAGGATACTGGGGGTGCTCTCAACCCAGCAAGAATGGTAGGATACTGGAGGGTACTGCTCTCAACCCAGCAAGAATGGTAGGATAATGGAGGGTACTGCTCTCAACCCAGCAAGAATGGTAGGATAATGGAGAGTACTGCTCTCAACCCACCAAGAATGGTAGGATACTGGGGGGTACTGCTCTCAACCCAGCAAGAATGGTAGGATACTGGAGGGTACTGCTCTCAACCCAGCAAGAATGGTAGGATAATGGAGGGTACTGCACTCAACCCAGCAAGAATGGTAGGATACTGGGGGGGGTACTGCTCTCAACCCAGCAAGAATGGTAGGATACTGGGGGGTACTGTTCTCAACCCAGCAAGAATGGTAGTAGGCTGGGGGCACCACTGCTCTCAACCCAGCAAGAATGGTAGGAGGCTGGGAGGATACTGCTCTCAACCCAGCAATAATGGTAGGATACTGGGGGATACTGCTCTCAACCCAGCAAGAATGGTAGGATAATGGGGGGTACTGCTCTCAACCCAGCAAGAATGGTAGGAGGCTGGGGGCACCACTGCTCTCAACCCAGCAAGAATGGTAGGAGGCTGGGGGATACTCCTCTTAACCCAGCAATAATGGTAGGATACTTTAGGATACTGCTCTCAACCCAGCAATAATGGTAGGATACTGGGGGATACTGCTCTCAACCCATCAAGAATGGTAGGAGGCTGGAGGGTGCTGCTCTCAACCCAGCAAGAATGGTAGGAGGCTGGGGGTATTGCTCTCAACCCAGCAAGAATGGTAGGAGGCTGGGGGGAATACTGCTCTCAACCCAGCAAGAATGGTAGGAGGCTGGGGGGATACTGCTCTCAACCCAGCAAGAATGGTAGGAGGCTGGGGGGAATACTGCTCTCAACCCAGCAAGAATGGTAGGAGGCTGGGGGGAATACTGCTCTCAACCCAGCAAGAATGGTAGGAGGCTGGGGGGTATTGCTCTCAACCCAGCAAGAATGGTAGGAGGCTGGGGGGGGGTACTGCTCTCAACCCATGCAAGAATGGTAGGAGGCTGGGGGGTATTGCTCTCAACCCAGCAAGAATGGTAGGAGGCTGGGGGGTATTGCTCTCAACCCAGCAAGAATGGTAGGAGGCTGGGGGGGTACTGCTCTCAACCCAGCAAGAATGGTAGGAGGCTGGGGGGTATTGCTCTCAACCCAGCAAGAATGGTAGGAGGCTGGGGGGTATTGCTCTCAACCCAGCAAGAATGGTAGGAGCTGGGGGGTACTGCTCTCAACCCAGCAAGAATGGTAGGAGGCTGGGGGGTATTGCTCTCAACCCAGCAAGAATGGTAGGAGGCTGGGGGGGGTACTGCTCTCAACCCAGCAAGAATGGTAGGAGGCTGGGGGGGGTACTGCTCTCAACCCAGCAAGAATGGTAGGAGGCTGGGGGGGGTACTGCTCTCAACCCAGCAAGAATGGTAGGAGGCTGGGGGGTATTGCTCTCAACCCAGCAAGAATGGTAGGAGGCTGGGGGGTATTGCTCTCAACCCAGCAAGAATGGTAGGAGGCTGGGGGGGGTACTGCTCTCAACCCAGCAAGAATGGTAGGAGGCTGGGGGGTATTGCTCTCAACCCAGCAAGAATGGTAGGAGGCTGGGGGGTATTGCTCTCAACCCAGCAAGAATGGTAGGAGCTGGGGGGGGTAACTGCTCTCAACCCAGCAAGAATGGTAGGAGGCTGGGGGGTATTGCTCTCAACCCAGCAAGAATGGTAGGAGGCTGGGGGGGTACTGCTCTCAACCAGCAAGATGGTAGGAGGCTGGGGGGGGTACTGCTCTCACCCAGCAAGAATGGTAGGAGGCTGGGGGGGGTACTGCTCTCAACCCAGCAAGAATGGTAGGAGGCTGGGGGGTATTGCTCTCAACCCAGCAAGAATGTAGGAGGTGGGGGGGTACTGCTCTCAAACCCAGCAAGAATGGTAGGAGGCTGGGGGGGGTACTGCTCTCAACCCAGCAAGAATGGTAGGAGGCTGGGGGGTATTGCTCTCAACCCAGCAAGAATGGTAGGAGGCTGGGGGGGGTACTGCTCTCAACCCAGCAAGAATGGTAGGAGGCTGTGATCACTTCCCAAATTTTGCACTTTTTTTTAAAACTTCTTTCTTTCTTTCTTTCAACACACCGGCCGTATCCCACCAAGGCGGGGTGGCCCAAAAGGAAAAACGAAAGTTTCTCCTTTTACATTTAGTAATATATACAGGAGAAGGGGTTACTAGCTCCTTGCTCCCGGCATTTTAGTCGCCTCTTACAACACGCATGGCTTACGGAGGAAGAATTCTGTTCCACTTCCCCATATTATCAAGGTTATTTTTTATCTTGTAAAGCAAAAACTTACTTGGATAAATTTTAGAAAATCAGAGTATGTAACTTGTGTAGGATCATATTCTTGAAGGCTCCATCCATTGTTGTCCAGCTGGTATTGTACGTTACTTAGGGATGTCTTTAAGGTGTTGACACGTACATATCGCGGACAGTTGTCTGAAAATACCATGTAACATGTTCATGAAAAATGAAGGAAAAGACATCATTAGAAGATAACTAACATAACCGATGTTTATTCCCCACAGACAGAAGACAAGGATAAACTAAAATGAAAAAAGAAATACAGTAAGACAGATAATAAGAGAAGGGGTGCATGCTCAATAAAAAATTCACTGCACTGAAGTGCTTGATGTAGTGAACTAGGTATATCAGTGACACTACTGGGCTCCACTGATGACATTACCAGATATGATAAGAATAAGCTGTAATAAAGTACAGTACAGTAAATTATACATATTTTAACACACCAGCCGTCTCCCACTAAAGCACAATGACCTAAAAATAATAAACACTTTCACCATCACTCACTCCATCACTGTCTTGCTAAATGTGTGCCAATACTACAGTTCAAATGTCCCTCCAAACTGCAAATATTCCCACCTCTCCATCAGGCATTCTACTTCACACCTCCAGGACTCAAGTCTGGCTAACCAGTTTCCTTAAATCCCTTCATAACATGCTCACTCATGCCTGTTGGATGTCCAGGCTCCTTGCATACAAAATCTCCTTCACCCCTTCCCTTCAACCTCTCCTAGGATGACCCCTACCCTGCCTTCCTTCAACTACAGATTTATACACCCTCCAAGTCGTCTTATTTTGCTTCATCTTCTCTAAATGTCCAAACCACTTTGACAACCCATCTTGTGCCCTCCAAGAATTATCTGCATAATATTTACACTACACATTGCCCTCAGACATGTCATCTCCACTGCCTTTAGCCTACTTCTCGTTGCAACATTAACCACCTATACTTCACACCCATATAAGAGCATAAACACCACTATACTCTTATGCATTTCCCTTTTTTTGCATCCATGAATAACATTCTTTTTCTCCACAAATGCCTCAGTGCACCACCCACTTTTACCCCCTCATCAATTCTATGATTCACCATGTCTTTCAAAGACCCATCTGCTGAAAAGTTCATTCCCAAATATCTGAACACATTCACTTCCTCCAATCTGATATCCAATCTTTCATTACCTTACTTTTTTTTTTTTTTCAGTACAGTATAGTAATTTTTCCTAACTCTTCTGGTGGACATACAAGCCTAAACTACAGTAATTGTGTGTGGTCTAGTGATTACTCAAAATAAGTCTGATTTTTGGTTTAACCCTTAAACTGTCCAAACGTAGATCTACGTTTTTTCAACATTTGAAAGTATGTAAAAAAAGTAGATCTTCTTTTCTTTTTTTACATTTGAAAAAGTGTAAAAAAACTTTGATCTACTTTTTTTTTTGTTATATTTGAAAATATATAAAAAAAAACATAGATCTACTTTTAGAGCACCACGCATGTGAACATAGATCTGCTTGGACAGTTTAAGGGTTAAGGAGCTATAAAGTTTTAAAGTAACAATGCTGATGATAAATGGCAAATGTGGGAGATGTAGATAGTGTGGGAGACACAGATGGTTGAGGCACATACATGATTGAAACAGTTGTAGGTAGTTTGGGAAACTTTGAGCAGGAAACATGTTTAACGAATGTATCCAGCTTCCTTTTATTTTTGGCACAATGATGGTCCCTTATCACAAATTCCCTAAAAGTCTGAAAGTGTGGATAATAGGTCTGCACTTCTATATATATGCAACAGGATCAACAGTATCTCATGCTACAAACACTTTTTGATCAGGCCAGCAAATAAGGGGAGCTAAGGGGGAGCCACTCCCTCTGGAAACATTTTACCTTCCTCCATGGAAATTCTCAGAAATGACAAGAACATAGTGATTCTGAGCACACAGGTGAACAGCTCAATAGCAGAATTCATCACACAAATGCAAGGCTAGACAAGAGCATCATCATGTGCAGTACTGGTGACACAGGCATGCCAAGTGTTGATGAAAAATTAGCCAAGTTTCACTCTTCCTGAGTTACAGATCAAGTTCTGTGTCAATACTAATTTACATATGACTGTTGATGCAGTAAACCTTGAGACAGAAAACTGCTTATTCAGGAATCTCTTCTCCCACTCAGAGAGATACCTACTGTAATTCCAAGTCTTGAGGAGCTTAAGGTAGAAAAGTCTTTCATAATTCATGCCAATGAAAATGACATGCATAACAAAAGACCAATGTGGTTCCTACAAAAATTGTCTGACAATAAGCAAGCCTTCTTGGGTGTGTATTGAGTTGTGGCTGCAATTGCAGCAATTGGGTGCTCAACTGCAATGCAAGAGTCTGCATTTCCAACACTAGCTTGCACTGACCAGACAACTTGTCAAGACATGTATAATCAGAAAACTGAGCTTGATTCTCTATGCTTTAAATCTCAGTCCATGGATAATTTAACCCTTTGACTGTCGCAGCCGTATATATACGTCTTACGAGGTACAGTGTTTGACGTATATATACTCATAAATTCTAGCGGCTTCAAATCAAGCAGGAGAAAGCTGGAAGGCCCACATGTGAGAGAATGGGTCTGTGTGGTCAGTGTGCACCATATAAAAAAATCCTGGCGCACGCAGTGCATAATGAGAAAAAAAAACTCCGACCGTTTTTTTTAATTAAAATGCCGACTTTGTGGTCTATTTTCGTATAGTATTTATGGTTGTATTCTCGTTTTCTTGGTCTCATTTGATAGAATGGAAAACATATTATAGAAATAGAGGTGATTTTTATTGATTTTCCTATAAAAAGAACCTAGAAATGGAGCTCAAAGTAGGGGAAATGTTTGATTTTTGCCGATGTTCAAAAGTAAACAAATGATGCCATTGTCCAATAAATGTCCAACTAGCCATTCTAATATGCAGTCATGAATGGGTTGATGTTATTTATACAATTATTACAGTATTGCAGTAGTCTGCATAATAGTAAGTCTTCTATTTTTTGTTTGAATAAAAATTCAAAATAGAAAGCAAGAGTAATATCAGAGAGGCCTGGAGACATGACTGATGAGCAAAGAAAATGTTATTTTAGAGCCAGGAATGTCTGCATTGTTCATTCTGGACCTTATTTTGAAATTGTCATACTTTTTAGTTTTCGTGAAATTGGCCAAATTGCAATTTTCTGACCACATTATTAGGTAGTTGAAATCAGTAAATGGACAGTTTCTTGTATTCAATCGATAGAAAAAATGGAGTTCTAAAGAAATAGCTACGAGTTTGGGCAACTGGAACAATGGAATTAGCCGAAAATAGGGCTCAAAGTGGGCGAAATCGCCGATCTGTAAACAGCGCCAAGGTCGCTAATTTCGCGAGAGCATAATTCCGTCAGTTTTCCATCAAATTTCGTTTTTTTGGTGTCATTACAATCGGGAAAAGATTCGCAATCATTTCATAAGAAAAATATATATTTTTTTTTAAATTTTGCGACACCAGGAGACACCTCAGGATTGGGGGTTGCGACAGTCAAAGGGTTAAATATTAATACATTTCTAAGCAATTTTTTAACAGAAACAGTGCAGACTACAGCCATATTACCAGTGGTTTAGTCTTGGCAGATCACACTGATGTACAATGTAAGATACTGGCACAGCCAAAATGTTAGGTTATTGGGACTTGAGCCTATCACCTACACAAGAGTAATTAAGGCTGCACATGACCTGTTCACCACCAGTCAAGAAGAGCTTAATCCCTATTTTAGGGATTAAAGTAAACCTCCCTGCATATATAATCTAAGAGACATACACCTCACAATGTGTATGAGATGCTATTAAAAAATTCCCAGACTCTAATGGGTGAAATATGGTGATGAGGTAGACCATGTTGTTCAGTACACTCCTCAGTGAAACAGTGGGGCTTTTTCCAGTATATATTAATTTTGCACTTGTCTGTTGTACATAAGACCCAGCTGAGTGTATCATTGTTGAGTGTCCCACTGTTGTGCACCTCTGTTCCACCTGTAGCAATTCTGTTTGTCCCTTTTTTTGGATCGTCTCATTTCTCTTTTCGTCTAAAAAGAGAATGCTGTTCATTTTTTATTACCTTGCTTTCTCTGTAGTGCTGCATTACTTTCCCATGATAGTTTGGCAGCTAAGATCATAACATTCTCTGAGATACACTTAGGCTTTGCACATCACTGGATGGAAGTACCTGCATTCCTTATCAAAGCAACACTTCCCCTTTCTTATCATGTTTATACATTTTCTTGTGTGTTTATACCAATATTTTCTCCCATATAGGAACTTCCCTTTAGTATAGTACAAAGGTACCTCGAGTTTCGTACAGCTCCCAACTCAAACAATTATGTAAGTGTATTATTGTAAGTGCTTTTGTAAGTGTATTTTTGGGGGTCTGGAATGGACTTATCTAATTTACATTATTCCTTATGGGAACAAATTCATTCGGTAACGGCACTCGAATAGCCTTCTGGAACGAAGTATAGCTGAAACTTGGGGTACCGCTGTATTTGGAGATGTCCTGACTGCCTACATTTACTGAGTTAGACTCATCAGTAAAAAAGTGCTAATTCTAGACTTATTTTGCATAATTTATCAATTAAATTTTATCATGGGTATGTATGTATGATAACTTTTTCAAGTGAGAATTGTATGATCTGAGGGACGTGACCTCTCAGTGGCTACATTCTCTCTACTACTTTGCACCTCTCCTTCTGACAGTATATAAGTCTTCACACTGTCACTTGATGTTCAGATTATTTCAGACTATGGAACAGAGCTCTTCTCCAGACTGAGATACTGACAACCTCAAATCTACGACTTCAAGGGTGATGGACTGATTACATCGTCTTCACATCTCTACTGTTCCTGCCTACTTCCTGTACTCGGCTGAAGAAGCCTACTGTGTAGGCGAAACATTTCGGAATAAAGTTGCCTAACTGTTGCCTATGTGTCTTACCTACCAACCTGTCGGTATTGTATACCATTTTGATATTCATGCATGTAAATAAAAAAATGACATATACAGTAGGGTCCCACTTATTCGGCAGGTTAGGTTCCAGGCTACTGCCAGAAAGCAGACAACGCCTGAAAGCAGAA